AAATAAGACTCTACTCCTATTCCCTCAAGCTAGGGTTAGACCAAACACTTACCTCAAAGCCTTGAAATCCGCTTAATCCTCAACTATTCGCTTTACCTCGCGGTTCCACCTCCAATTCGCCCGAATCTAATCACAAATTGCTCAATTACTTTAATAAACACTATATGAATCAATTTGAATGCATAAAATGAGTTTCCCAAGTTTTTCCCAAAAATTCCAAAATCGCCCCCCGGGCCCACGTGGTCAAAACTCGAGGTTCGAACCAAAATCTGGTTACCCATTCCCCCACAAGTTCAAATATATAATTTGTTTTGAAATCGGACCTCAAATCGAGGTCCAACTCCCCAATTTATAGAAAACGTAGGTTCTACCCAAAAATCTCAATTTCACCCATGAGAATCTTTGATTTCAAGTGGAAAACATGTTTAATGACGTTAAAGATTGAAAGAATTGAGTAAAAATCAACTTACAAGTGAGTTGGGATGAAGTTTGCTCTTGAAAATTCGCCTATGGTGTTTTGGGTTTGAAAGAATGGTGAAAAGTGATGAAAATTCGACTAAGTATAAAATTTGCTGGGCCGCGGATATCGGAAATGCGAAGCTGGGTTCGCAATTGCGAACCCAGCAGGTCTGGGAATTGCGAGATTTTAGTTCGCATTTGCGAACACTGGGCCTCAATGCAGACTTCGCATTTGCGAAGTAATGATCGCATTTGCGATCTGGGCCCTCTCGCATTTGCGAGCAAGGGCGTCGCATTTGCGACTACAGCCCATTTTCCCGCCCTTCGCATTTGCGAAAGATTGATCGCATTTGCGACAGTGCCCCATTTTCCCAAACTTCGCAATTGCGAAGCAGTGCTCGCATTTGCGAGCTTGCAATTGCGAGTCTTCCCTTCGCATTTGCGAAAATTGCAGAAGCCAGCATACTAGATTTTTAAAACATGAGAAATGCAATCCGATGCCTATCCAAAACTCACCCGAGCCCTCGAGGCTCCAAACCAAACATGCATCCAACTTCAAAAACATCCTATGGACTTGCTCGTGCGATCAAATCGCCAAAATAACATCAAAATCATTGAATCAAGCCTCAAAACACATGATTCTTCTTCTAAACTTCATAACCTTTCAAGCTTTGAACTCATAGTCCGAAACACATCAAACGACGTCCGATTTCGACCAAACTTTATAGAAAGCGCGTAACACATATTTAAGACTTGTACCGGGCGTCGGAACCAAAATACGAGCCCGATACCATAGTCTTTTAATCAATTTTCATTTCCATTTTCATAATAATTTCAGAAAAACAATTTCACGAAAAAATTCGTATCTCGGGCTCTAGACCTCGGAATTCGATTCCGGGCATATGCCCGGGTCTCATATTTTTCTACGGACCCTCCGGGACCGCCAAATCACGGGTCCGGGTCCTTTTACCAAAAATGTTAACCAAAGTCAACTATAATCATATTAATATCAAAATTCTTCAAATTTTTCACGGAATTCACATATTTCAACTTAAAAGCTTTCCGGCTACGCGCCCGGACTGTGCACGCAAATCGAGGCAAGTAAAAGCGAGGTTTTCAAGGCCTCGGAAGCACGGAAATAGGAAGAAATTCGGTGATGACCCTTTGGGTCGTCACATTAGACCCCGAATGGAACATAATCAACATGAACGGGTCCAATGCTTACCACCGGATGTTATTCAATGAAAAATATTTCCTAACATTAAAGGGAAAGCACGTTGCAGAGAATATTTGCATTCATGGCCTGTCGTTATATATTCATCAATGGCCCCTTTATTGTCATTTAAGAGGGGATTGATCCTAGGATCTTGTTTTTAGGTATAACTATAAATAGTAATTTCAACATCCATTATAGGGACACGAAATTCTTGGCAAAACTTATTCTACATTTTATTCTCAAGTTAAATAACATAACTTTACTTGTTGTTTCATATTGTTCTTATCCTTCTTTCGGGGGCATTGCTCCTGGAACCAGGCATTTCCTTCGATTTTAATTGCTAAGTCTTACTTTTTTCTATTTTATTTATCATTTTTGGATCAAATCAGTTCTCTTATCTATAAACCATGTAATAAATTCAACTGTACCATTTTATGGGTAAACAAATAGTATTTCCCCTTAAATAAATCTTATACAACGCAATCTAAATTAATCAAGTCAATAGTTTTTTACACCAAATGATCGAACATGCACAAAAAACCTTTAGAACTAGATTGAAGATTCATTAGAACCCAACGCATGAGGAGAGAGAAACTCTGGCGATCAGACAATTGCGATGACTAGAGCTCGAAGCTGCCACGAGCCTTTAATGGCTTCTCCGGCCACTGGTCGGCCTCCTCATGAGGTTGGTCAGTCTTCAAACACCTCCCCACAGCCCCCTCAATCCTTACAACACCTAATCCATTACAAAATTATGTGAGACTCCTACAACTAAAAATATTAAATGCGTTAATGCAAACCCTAGCTCAAATACCTATCAAAACTGTTGAGTACTTACATGGCGATCCTATAATCAAGTGGAAGAAGATGGAGGTGAAGCATTCCATCGTTCTACAAGGCTTGCAACTGGCAGTGTTGGGAAAGTTTTCTTATGGAAAGCCTATGATCACTGAATTACGTAAAGCCATCCCTATTCAATGTGAACTTAAAGGTGCTTGCTCAATAGGTCTTATTGAGGATAAAATGTCTTGATTAGACTCTCATTAATAGAGGACTATGTTCACTTGCTTTCAAAGCCATCTTTTTATTTGAAAGCTCAAGGTGAGATGTGGCAGATGCGATTTACGATGTGGAATCCTTGGTGGAAGCTTGATGAAGAAACTCCAATTGCTATTGCGTGGATTAGTTTTCCAGAATTGCCTCCAAACATTTTTGGTAAGGAATTTGTTTTTTCCTTGGCTAGTGCAGTAGAAAAGCCCTTACATGTTGATTTAGCTACCCAAATAGCATTAGACCTAGTAGCGCAAAGGTAAAAGTAGAGGTGAATTTGTTAGCTAAATTCCCTCAAAGAATAAAGATTGTGGAGGAAGAGGATGATTCTGGGCATGAAGAATTGAAGTGGATAAAAATTAAGTATGATTACATGCCTAAATATTATAAAATATGTGTGAAGCAAGGTCATAATGAAGTAGACTGTTGGGTGATACATCGTGAACTACACAAGAAATTTGCAGAAGTGGTGGAGGATCAAAGTAATGGAAAGGAGTTAGTAGGTATTGCAGCTAACTCTACCAAAGTACTTACAAGTGGTAAGGTACTTGGAAAGCCTATTACCAATACTACCAAACAAGAATAGATGCAACGAATCAAAACAAATACCAAAGGGATAAGAGAGGCCATATTATTGAATCTACAAAGAGCCAAGCAGTGGACAAGTTGAATGAGTTACAAGGAACAAATTTGATGCTTTGGGGGGTAGAAGAAATTGAGAACCCAACTTTAATGATCACTGATGGCAAAGGAGATGGAAAAGCTTTAGAAAAGAGAAAGAACAACTGGAGAATGTCACCAAGAAAGGTCAGGAGAAGAGGCAACTGGAGAATGGTAATAATATCAGTGCTAATACAGTGAAGGAAAGGAGTGTTGAAATGGCTAAGGAAGATAATCCTAATCCTGCACAAACAGGGATTAAGATTGAGGTGAGTTAGGCCACTGAAGTTTAGAAGCTCCCAGTGGAAAAGAATGATACTCCTAGTGCAACTGGGATTGATGGTGCAGTTGTAAAGGAATGAACAGTCGATTGGGTACAAAGAAGGTTTGGTACGCCAAAGAAGGTTCTTAATATTACTCTCAATCCCTCATGTCAGGAGGTTCCTTCGTCACCTAGGGCAATTACATCAACTGGAGCAACTAGGATAGGTAATGAACTATAGAGTGATGAGGTGCATGAGTTTGAGGCTAACATTGATACAAATATAAGCTCCACACTTAGAGATCAAACGTGCAATACTCAAGAAACTCAAACAGGTACCTTTGATAACACTGCAACAGTAAACCCTAGTCTGCAAAAAACTAGGGTTAAAGATATGGGGAAGACTAACGATCAGCAATCTATGCAACCGAATGGAGGACCTAGAGGAGCACTAGTACAACCTAGAATCACTGGTGGATTAGCTGTTGAGTCATCTGGGAAGAAGAACCTCAATGGAAAGTAAACCCTAGAGGAACTGTTCAGGTTTTTGACAAAACTAGTAGTGATATGGTGGAGAATTGGGTAATGACCAGGTTGGGAATGTTACTATGGAGGTCTTAAAGGATACAGTAAGGGCAAAACAACAAACAACTGCTTAATACCCTTGATCTTAATGGAACAGTAACTTCTGGGTAGGCTGCTACAGTGAACCCTAACTTGGATAATGTTTATGAACTTCAATTTAGGATGATACGTGAGGCTGTAGGTGCTTTGGAGCAGAATGCTAAGGTTATAGAGGATGCTAACATGATGAGAAAAGGGCAGGATGAGCAGGCTATTGTCCCAAAGACAGCTGGAGTTATGAATCAATGCCAATGGCTTATGCATCAGGCACTAACCAGGTTAAGCAACTGCAGCTCAATGTTCCATTGAAGACATCTATTCGGACATTACATAACCTAGTGACACACAATGTCTCTCCAGTGGAGATAGCTTTCATGGAAAAACAACAACTTGAAGAATAAGGAGATGATGAGTCTACTGCTGGGAATTCCAAACAAGTGACAAGGGAGGCTGACTTATCACCTAGAACTAGTGCAAATGGTGATAAGAAAGCCAAGAAGCAGACACAAAATAAAGAATCACCTCAGCCTACAAGAATTTTGCCCGGAGCGCAGCTTCACAGACTAAATGGTGATCATGACAGTGATTTGGAATATTAGGTCTGTGAATACACAGCAGGTCTTTCCTAGGGTGATCAACATGCAAAGGGAGCATAGTTTCTTTGTCATTGCACTAATGGAGCCATTTTAGAATGCAAGGCATATACAAAGGTATAGAAGAAGGTTAAATATGGAAACTGCATTTTGTAATAACAATGGGAAGATATGGTTGGTCTTTGATGTTGCAATAGAATGGGAATTGATTATGGAGACTGAGCATCAGGTGACTGTTAAATTGTTTCACCATGACACTGGACAGTATACTATTATGACTTTTGTGTATGCAAAATGTTCATCATTAGAGAGGTTGGAGTTGTAGGATAATTTGTACTATCTGGAAAGTGACATGGAGCTGCCTTGGTTAGTAAGGGGAGATTTCATTGTGGTATTACATGAAGATGAGAAGATTGGGGGCTTGCTAGTACATCCTGCTGAATATGAGGATTTTGCATTTTGTGTAAACCCTTGTGGGCTGTTTGATCAAGGATATAAAGGGAGTCTACTTACTTGGAGGAATGGGAGACCTAATGCTGAGTGTATATTCAAAAGATTGGACGGGATATTTGTGAATCTACCATATCAAAATTTGCTTCCTACAATAGAAGTGGAGCACCTGATTAGAACTGGACCAGATCATGCACCATTGCTCATGACTTGTGGAGAGAAGACTACAAATTTTGTCAAGCCATTTAGGTTTTTAAACTTCTGGACAAAACATGCTACATTCAAGGATGTGGTGCGACAGAATTGGGATGCTGATTTCATTGGAGATCCTTTTTTAATGTTCAAGCATAAATTGAAGACGGTGAAGGCAGCACTGTCTAAATGGAGTAAAGATACTTTTGTTGACATTTTCAAACAATTGGCAATTTTGGAAGATATTGTAAAAGTGAAAGAGATGTTGTTTGAGGAAGAGCCTACAATTGAGAATAGGATTGTATTTCAAAAAGCTCATGCAGAATTGAAGAAATACTTGAGTATAGAGGAGCAGCACTGGAAGCAAAAAGTTGGGATGAAATGGTTTGCTGAGGGTGATAGGAACACTAGTTTCTTTCACAATCATGTAGATGGTAGGAGGAAGAAGCTACAATTGAAAAGGATTCAGAATGGAGATGGAAACTGGCTAGAAGAACAAGAACAAATGGCCACTGTTGCACTTGATTTCTACCAAAGATAGTTCACAAAAGAAGGGGATCCTACAGATTTCTCTATGCTAGAGAATGTGCCTTCCATGGTTACTATGGAGCAGAACTTGGAGCTATGTAGATATCCAACATTAGAAGAAGTCAAGGCTGCAGTCTTTGAGTTAAGTGGTGATAGTGCCAGTGGCCCTGATGAATTCACTGGCTTGTTTTATCAAGAATGCTGGGAGGTAATCTTATATGACATACACAAGATGGTACTTCACTTTTATGGAGGTGCGGCATTGCCAAAGTCCATTACTCATACAAACTTGGTACTGATGCCAAAGAAGACAAGGGTTCAAATATTCTCAGACCTAAGACCTATAAGTTTGAGTAACTTTATCAACAAAGTGCTATCTAGGGTGCTTCATGATAGGTTGGAAAAGTTTCTGCCTTCTCTTATCTCTCCTAATCAATCTGGATTTGTGAAGGAGAGGAGCATCTTTGAGGACATCCTTCTGACACAGAAAATTGTCACTGACATATGTCGCGCCCCCCTTTTTCCTCGCGGAATCCGGGTTTCGATATTCATTGGGAACAACTCATTTCCTTTTGGGAATTGGGTATTTTAAGAGTCGCCACCTAACGGATTAAGGTGTGTTAGGGCACCTAGAGCAATTAACTCATATAACCAGTTTGCATTACCAGAGATTAGGGTAAGGGCTCAAAATAATCTTGAGGGGAAGGTGTTAGGCACCCCTCTTGTCCACAACGGTGGGTCCCGGCCGAACTCAATTATGTGAATTAGTCATTTAACAGATAGGCAGTCTAAGCACACATTTGCAAATAAAGAAAGTCTAACGGATAGGCAGTCTAAGCACACATATGTAAATAAGGTGAGGGAAGTCCTAGGTTTGTTGGCCTATGGGATCACATCTATACAGTACCCGGTAAGCCTTCCTCAAATAGAGGGGTTACACGTGGCATTAGCGCACATGTCATCATATCCACTACTAACTAATTACCCTTCCCTTGGTCATAACCTAAAGCGTTCTAGCAATCTTAAGATGTATCCTATGCGTGCACTACCCGTCCCTTTAATTATATTATCCGGAGGTATTTGGGACTTCTAGTTGAGGTGGATCTAGACTCTCCTACGGTAATTAAAAGGAGAAACTCTAGGCGACATACAAAACATATAAGACTGGACCCAAAGATAGAACAATTAAAAGGCTCTCATTTTACCTCCACAGATAGAGCAAGTAAGTGCACATCTCAAACAACAGATTTCGGATATTTGAGAAAAAGCCCTAAAACAGGATATCTAGGTGAGCATGACAAACAGAGAATATGCAATGTTGAGTTAAAGGCAAAATTGTTGAAGACCTATTCAGTTTGCCTACTGAATTTTAGGACCTGTTAAATCCGGGCAGTCCCAATAAGCAAAGCAGTTTCACAGTTTATTAAACCTAGATTACCTATAGGCTTGCCTAGGCGTGTATTAGCAGTAACATGTCATCTAGACATTAATGAAAGACCATAACTCTGAATCAGTAATCGATAGACAGATTTTGTTTATTTGGACCTATATGCTTGTTTAGGTGCTGAAGAATGATCACAGGCATTATAGAATTGGTTTCACACTTTCATCTCTAAGAGTATGATGTCTAAGTATTGTATTTACGCGTATTCCTTATAGGCTAGGTGACAATTGATTTTTTACGCGTTCAAACTATAGGCATGGTTTTAAGCGAATGCAGTAAAAATCCTAGTAACATGGTCTCTATTGCACATTGAGTAGTTGTCGAACGTGATTATCAAGACATAATTGATAAATGACCTACGAACCAGATTTTTTAATGCAAGTAAGAGAATGCAGAATGGAAGTTTAGAACGAATAGTGTAGTCATCCTAAAGACTTGTTTTCTAATGCACACAACAATCCGGTAGGCATGGCTTCTAACTCATACAAATAATCATAACAGTCCTATGAGCATGGTTTCTAATGCATATTGATAATCATATCGGTCCTATTGGCATGGTTTCTACCCGATTCCCACAAAAGATATATAAAAGTCCCTCCCTTTTACTAATTTCCCCAATAAAAGCCCTAGAACAGGATATCTAGGTGAGCATGACAAACAGAGTGTCACGACCCAATTTCCAAACCCGATCGTGATGGCGCCTCTCGTGAAGACAAGGCCAACCAACTAACCCAAATCATCTCTTTAACAATTTTTAAACATAAATTAATAGATAAATACAGCTTAACGACAATAATAACCAGTATTTACAACCCAACACAACCCGACCGGGGTGTCACAAGTCACGAGCATCTAAAGGAACCTGAACACAACTACAGGGCCAATATTATACAAAAATAAATTCTGGAATGCTAAAGACAACGTCCGGTGCCGCGGAAGCTGACGGTCACCTTACTCAGCTACAATAGTAATACCTTCAATCACCTAATAACCCGCTACCGGGTGAACAATACCTGCAACTGCACGCGAGGTGCAGGGAGTAAAGTGAGTACTCCAACTCAGTGAGCAATAAAAGTAAATAATAACTGAGCGGTAAGAAATCACGTAAAAGCACTCCATCATGCTATATAAGACAGTGCAAATCTTTGAGAAAACAGTAAAACCGTGAAAATCCTTTAAAAAATATCTGGACTCAGTTAAAACTTCCTTTGAAAATATCCTTTCCAACAGTTAAGCAAATGAATGCGTAATCAGATAGTGCAAGTCAGCACATAAGTCAGCCCCTCGGGCACAGCACTCCACTAACAATTAACACCAGGGCGTCTGGTAAACAGTGCAAGAAGTAGCATGAATGCCAATGAAATGAGAGTGCTGAATGTCATGACACGTATTACAAACAGGAACTAATGCATGAATGCAATGCAATGCATATGACCGCTGCGGCTTGCAGCCCGATCCATTTGGGTACCCGCGCTCACTGTGGGGGTTCAAACTCCGGAGGGGCTCCTACAGCCCAAGCGCAATATCAATATAACACCGCTGCGGCGTGCAGCCCGAGCCATCCATATATCCAGAAATCACTATAAAACTGCTGCGGCGCGCAGCCCGATCCATGCTCAGTCCAGAAATGCACATAAGCCCCTTGGGCAATAATAAAATAGCAGTTCTCAGCTCAAAACGTCAGTAAAATATCATTTAAGTTTTCAAATCATGACAAATTGCTGAATTTACAAAACAGTATTAAAACCCTGGACCGAGGTCAAATAACATGCAAAGTAATGCAAAATCAATGATATCAATCCCTGAAGGATTCAAATAATCGGCACGAAGCCCAAAACATGGCAATCAGCCCAAATCATGATGATAACAAGTGGTTTCAGTCAAATACGTAGTAATTTCATCAATCAGGACGGACCTAGTCACAATCCCCAACGGTGCTCTACCCACGCTCGCTATCCGGCATGTAAGTCACCTCAATAGAGCACTATGATGTGCAAACCCGGGGTTTCAAACCCTCAGGATATCATTTACAAGTATTACTCACCTCGAACCGGCGAAATCCCTAGCTCGCGACGCCTTTGCCCCTCAAACCGGCCTCCACGCGCGTCGAATCTAACCAAAATCAGAGCGAATACATCACAATATGCTAAGGGAACAATACCCAATCGAAAACAATCGAGAAATAGCAGAAATCTCGAAACTAGTAAAACCCAAACCCCGGGCCCACTTCTCGAAAAATTACAAAATTCACATTACCGGATTCCTCGTCTCGCCACGAGTCCGTACATATCAAATTTACCAAAATCGGAGTCCCTTTGACCCTCTAAATTCCATATTTAAATCTCAAAATCCCAAGCCCTAGTTCATCAATTTTAGGCTTAATTCCATGAATTTCTAGGTTAATTTCACATAATAATCATGTATTTATCTTGGAAATAAGTAGAAACAACTCACCTTTGATGCTTGATGAAATCCCCCTTGAAATTCTCTCCAAAATCATCCAAGCCAAATGAAAGAAATGAAAGAAATAAGCCAAATCCGTGTTTAAAGAATCTGCCCGTGCTTCGTCAAGTTGTACCTTGCACTTGTGCTAAGTTGTACATCCTATTAAAATTTTTCCTTGTCGGACACCTTCTGTTTAAACACCCATAACGTCTTGTATAAATATCCAAATGACAAACGGTTTAAAAATTTAGAAACTAGACTCGAATATCTTTAATTTGATAGGTTGTACACCATATAACTCTTTATATATCCCGAGATATGAGCTTCTAAAGTCGGCTCCATGAAATCAGAAAATTCTGGAGAAACTGGTCCACTAGTCATCTTCAATCGATCATAACTTCCTCTACAGATGTCCAAATTATAATTTCTTTAGCTTTCTGGAAACTACACACGAAGTTCTACAACTTTTATTTTTAAATCATCTCAAAATTCCTTGTAGATCAAAAGATATAGGCCTCCGAAGTACGCTCCACGACTGCACATTTGCTGTCCAAAGACAGCTTAGCAGCAGAAATTGCAGCAGCTTTTTCTTTTCTTTTGTGTCCGAATTCCATTCCGTTAACCTTCCGAAATCCACCCGAGGCCCTCGGGACCTTAACCAATTATATCAACATGTCCCACAATATCATTCAAACTTGTCCCAACCTTCGGAACACCCAAAATGACATCAAAACATCAAATCATCATCGAATTCAAGCCTATGAATCTCAAGAACTTCCAAATTCTATTTTTGATCAAAAACCCAACCAAACCACGTCCGAATGACCTCAAATTTTGCAGACAAGTCCAAAATGACATAACGAAGCTACAACAACTCTCGGAATTTCATTCCGACCCTCGGATCAAAATCTCACCTATCAACCGGAATTCGTCAAAATACTAACTTTGCCAATTCAAGCTTAATTCTACACCGGTCATTACAAAAATATTCCGGACACACTCCTAAGTCCCAAATCACCTAACGAAGCTATCCGAACCATAAAAATTCACATTTCGAGCCCTCTAACACATAAGTCAATATCTGGTTGACTTTTCCAACTTAAGCTTCCTTAAAAGAGACTAAGTGTCTTAAACCTTACCAAAATCATTCCGGAATGACTTCAAATTTTGCACACAAGTCACATTCGACATTACGGACTTGCCCCAACTTTCGGAATCGCATTCCGACCCCGATATCAAAATTTCCACTTCCGGTCTAATTTTCTTAAAAAAAACCTTCAAATTTCTATATTTAGCCAAATGACTTCAAAATGACCTCCGGACATCCGAATTCACTTCCGATCGTGCTCCCAACTCCAGAATTACCATACAGAGCTATACCCAGACTCGGAATCCCAAACGAACATCTATAACACTGAAATGCCTTCCAACCCAAATTTATGAAATTCTTCTAAAATACTAACTTCAACAATATACGCCGAAATGCTCACGGGTTATCATAACCAAATCGGACATACGCCCAAGTCCGAAATCATCATACGAACCTGCTGGAACTTTCAGATCCCGATTCCGAGGTCGTTTACTCAAATTTCCAATCATAGCCATTTTCTTCAACTTAAGGCTGCCGAAATGAAAATTTTCTTTCCAATTTGACTCCGAATTTCCCGAAATTCAACTCTGACCATACGCACAAGTCAATATACCTGAAATGAAGCTGTTCATGACTTCCAACTGCTGAACGACGCGCTAGAGCTCAAAATGACCGACCGGGTCGTTACACAGAGAATATGCAATGTTGAGTTAAAGGCAAAATTGTTGAAGACCTATTCAGTTTGCCTACTGAATTTTAGGACCTGTTAAATCTGGGCAGTCCCAATAAGAAAAGCAGTTTCACAGTTTATTAAACCTTGATTACCTATAGGCTTGCCTAGGCGTGTATTAGCAGTAATATTTCATCTAGACATTAATGAAAGACCATAACTCTGAATCAGTAATCGATAGACAGATTTTGTTTATTTGGACCTATATGTTTGTTTAGGTGCTGAAGAATGATCACAGGCATTACAGAATTGGTTTCACACTTTCATCTCTAAGAGTATGATGTCTAAGTATTGTATTTTCCTTATAGGCTAGGTGACGATTGATTTTTTACGTGTTCAAACTATAGGCATGGTTTTAAGCGAATGCAGTAAAAATCCTAGTAACATGGTCTCTATTGCACATTGAGCAGTTGTTGAAAGTGATTATCAAGACATAATTGATAAATGACCTACGAACCAGATTTTTTAATGCAAGTAAGAGAATGCAGAATGGAAGTTTAGAACGAATAGTGTAGTGATCCTATAGACTTGTTTTCTAATGCACACAACAATCCGGTAGGCATGGCTTCTAACTCATACAAATAATCATAACAGTCCTATGAGCATGGTTTCTAATGCATATTGACAATCATAACGGTCCTATGAGCATGGTTTCTACCCGATTCCCACAAAAGATATATAAAAGTCCCTCCTTTTTACTAATTTCCCCAATATCTGTTTACAAGAAATTATTATTACAAACCAACACTAATAATGAATTACAGAACTGGAATTACTGCAACTATAGGTGTACGCGGTGAAATCAGAGGGCCCGATTTCCCGCCATCGAGCCATCTCGGGGAGGTACCTCGAGACCCCGAGGACATGAAGCCACGACTTGGCCCTCTCCTTCAGGGCTTGTCAAGGTCCGATTCGAAGCTGAGATAAAGACAAAGGGGGAAGCCCTCAAGACACGCGGTTGAGTCTGACAGGGCCGGCCTATCCATAGCCTACACTGAGGCGTCGAGTCAAGCCATCACATCTCCATATTTCGTAAATTAGATATACATGTATTCGTAGCTAAGTTTCCTCTCCTATATAAAGGGGACTCGCCCTACCTTGTAAGTGACTGATGTTGCTCCCACAATTCTACAAAGTGCAATAATATCTTTCTCTCTCTCTTCTTACTAAACTACTGACTCTCACTGATACTGAGGATATCTCGATATCCTTTGCCTCTATATGTGTTCTTCATTTTAAATGTGTTCTTCATCGTACAAACTCAATTTTGGTTATAGATATCTTCGTTTGATTATATCTTTAGCTGTTATACTACTCCCGATTGTCCCTGATAACCCGACCTCGAAGTCCCAATCGACCAAGCTTACGCCCGGGTAGCGGGCCCTTTGGTTCGGTCGCTACCTCGTTTATCTCATGCCCCATCGTTAATATTCATAATACTAGCATCATCTGCTCTAACAACTAGCTTGGGAATAGATCACGTATTTTTAGAGTCTCATTTCATAAATTTAATTGCCATTACCATTTTCACGGTAAACAGTTTGGCGCCCACCGTGGGGCTAAAAATAATAGTGATTATTTTCTTGCTAGTTTCATTACACGAACGCATATCATCTTTCACACTTTTTCTTGTCAAAGATCCTTTGATTTCAAGTAAAAATGTCTGGCTCGGTGAACAGAGCTGAGAACGACCGCCTCGAAGATCACGGGGAAAATGGTGTAGCTATCCCGACCGTCGGAGCACCACTACAGGATCCCGATAACACACCCGGATCAGTACTAGCGGACGCGGGCTCACAAGATGCACAGCTAGTCGGCGAAACTTCCCACACCAACCAAGAAGCCGACGTCCACATGATTATTGGGGGAGCCGACGTACCCCGAGGGCCTGCCTCCAAACGAGCAAGGACACCTGCTACAGAAGAAGGGTCGGGCCGGGAACGCCCGCGTGAAGAAATCCTCGTATTCAGCGAGGAGGACCTCGAAGCTATGATGGAACCGCACAACGACGCTCTAGTCATCTCGTTTCTCTCAAACAACACCAGAATAAAGCGTGTGATCGTGGACCCAGGAAGCTCGGTCAACATAATCAGGTCAGAAGTAGTAGGACAGCTAGGATTGCTCAATCAAGTCATCCCCACCTCTCGGGTCCTCCACGGTTTCAACATGGTCAGAGAGGAAACAAAGGGAGAAATCATTATCCCAATCGACACGTCCGGCACGACCCAGAACACCGAGTTTCAGGTTATCAACGGTGACATGAAACACAACGCCGTACTTGGTAGACCTTGGATACACAACATAAGGGTCGTGCCCTCGACCTTGCACCAGGTAATAAGGTTTCCCACCAGGGACGGTATCACAACCATACATGGGGAACAGCAAGCAACAAGGGAAATGTTCGCAGTCCACCACGAGACGACAATTCCCGCATACTCGGCCTTGGACGGGGAGGGAAGCGCGCAGACCCTTGAAGACGACGAGGAAGACTTCTTCGCACCCCGGACTTTCGTCTCTCCTAAAGAATCCGACGAGACCAAGTCAACAGTCGAGGAGCTGGAGCAAACCGTTTTGATCAAACACCTCCCGGATCGCAAGGTATACTTGGGCACGGGACTGACCCCCGAACTCAGGGCAGAATTTATTCAATTCCTCAGTAATAATATCGACTACTTCGCTTGGTCCCATTTAGATATGACAGGTATCCCGCCGGAGATAACGTCCCACAAACTAAGCGTTGACCCCAAGTTCAAACCCGTGAAGCAAAAAAGGAGACCGCAGTCCGAGATGAAACATGCCTTCATCAAAGAGGAAGTGGCGAAACTTCTTAAAATTGGATCCATCAGGGAGGTAAAGTATCCTGAATGGCTGGCTAACGTATTTGTGGTACCAAAAAAGGGGAATAAGCTAAGAATGTGCGTAGACTATAAAGACTTGAACAAGGCGTGCCCAAAAGGTTCCTTCCTACTGCCCAATATTGATCGCTTGATCGATGCTATGGCCGGCCATGAGACCCTCACTTTTCTCGATGCCTACTCGAGGTATAATCAGATCCAGATGAACCCCGAAGATAGGGAAAAAACCTCGTATATCACAAAATACGGAACATATTGTTATATCGTAATGCCCTTCAGGCCAAAAAAATGCGGGAGCAACGTACCAACGGCTAGTTAACAAAATGTTCGAGCACCAGGTAGGAAAATCGATGGAGGTATATATTGATGATATGCTAGTAATATCCCTACGCGCAGAGGACCAGTTGACCCATTTGCAGGAAACCTTTGACATCCTCAGAAGCTACAACATGAAGCTCAATCCTGAGAAATGCGCATTTGGAGTAGGCTCGGGTAAATTCCTGGGCTTCATGATCTCAAACAGGGGATCAAAATCAATCCCGATAAAATAAAGGCCATCGAAGAGATTACAGCGGTAAACAACGTAAAAGCCATCCAGTGATTAACGGGGCGGATCGCGGCCCTAGGCAGATTCATATCGAGATCATCAGACAAAAGCACCATTTCTTCGCCCTGCTTAAAAGGAAGAACAACTTCGAGTAGACTTCAGAATGCCAACACGCCCTGGAGGAACTAAAACGATACCTGTCCAGCCCATCTTTGCTGTGCATGCCCGAGGAGGGTGAAACACTATATTTGTACCTAGCAGTATCCGAAATAGCGGTAAGCAGCGTATTGGTCCGAGAAGAGCAAGGTATGCAATTTTCTATTTATTACGTAAGCCGCACCATGGGGGACGCCGAAACCCGGTACCCCCATCTAGAAAAACTGGCTCTCGCGCTAATAAGCATCTCGCGCAAACTGAAGCCTTATTTTCAGTGCCACTGTATCTGCGTCCTGACAACTTATCCCCTCCGGAGTATACTGCATAAACCTGAGCTATCAGGTCGATTGGCCAAATGGGCCATCGAACTCGGAGGGTATGACATCGAGTATCAACCTCGGACAACCATTAAATCCCAAATCCTGGCGGATTTTGTGACTGACTTCTCGCCAGCCATCGTACCCGAGGTAGAGAAAGACCTTTTATTAAAATCAGGCACTTCCTCCGGGGTATGGACCTTGTTCACGGATGGCGCCACAAACGTAAGAGGATCCAGACTCGGTATAGTCTTGAGGCCGCCCGTCGGCGGCATAATCAGACAATCCATAAAAACCACGAAACTGACTAACAACGAAGCCGAATATGAGGCTATGATTGCAGGTCTAGATTTGGCCAAAGGTTTGAGAGCCGAGATCGTAGAGGCAAAATGCGACTCGCTCCTCGTGGTAAGCCAAGTAAACGGAAGCTACGAAGCCCGGGAGTACAGGATGCAAAGGTATTTGGACAAAATTCAAATCGCGTTGCGTCGTTTCAAAGAATGGACTTTAGTACACATACCCCGAGAGCAAAATTGCGAGGCCGATGCCCTTGCAAACTTGGGATCCTCCGCCGAAGAAGAAGACCTGCTCCTCGGAACGGTCATCCAATAGTTCAAATCTGTGGTCGAGGAGGGCCACGCGGATATTAACTCTGCTAGCCTGACATGGGATTGGAGAAACAAATACATCGCTTATCTGAATGACGGAAAACTGCCCACAGATCCAAAAGAGTCAAGGGCCCTGTGAACCAAAGCGGCCCGGTTCTCACTCAACGAAAATAGGGCCCTTTACAGGAGAACTTTCGATGGTCCCCTGGCGATATGCTTGGGACCGGGCGACACGGAATACGTGCTTCGAGAGATCCACGAGGGCACCTGCGGAAATCATTCTGAGGCCGATTCTTTGGTCTGAAAAGTGATCCGGGCGGGCTACTATTGGGATAGCATGGAGAAAGACGCCAGGGAATTCGTCCGAAAATGCGACAAGTGTCAAAGGTTCGCCCCTATGATCCACAGGCCCGGAGAACAACTACATTCCATTTTATCACCATGGCCATTCATGAAATAGGGGATGGACATTGCCGGCCCTTTGCCGACGGCGCCAGGTAAGGCCAGATTCATCTTATTTATGACTGACTATTTCTCAAAATGGGTAGAAGCGCAGGCCTTCGAGAAAATAAGAGAGAAGGAAGTCATCAATTTTATATGGGAACACATCATATGCCGATTCGGAATCCCGTCCGAAATAACGTGCGACAACGGGAGGCAATTCATCGGGGGCAAGGTAACGCAGTTCCTTGAGGAAAATAGAATCAAGAGGATCCTGTCGACACCATATCACCCGTGTGCAAACGGCCAAGTCGAATCTACATATAAAACCATCATTCAAAACTTGAAAAAGAAGCTGGAAAGCGCCAAAGGGAAATGGAGGGAAACGCTGCCCGAAGTGCTATGGGCATATCGAACAACTCTAAAATCGAGCACCGGCGAGACACCTTTCTCCCTAGTATACGGCGCCAAGGCACTGATACCGGTGGAGGCCAGAGAACCAAGCGAAATATTCCAACACACTAGCGAAGGATCAAATAACGAAGCCATGGCGACGGCCCTCGAGCTGCTCGACGAAAAATGGGAAGACTCGCTGGTTCGGATGGCTGCCTAGAAACAGAAAATCAAAAGATACTACAATAGGAGAATGAATCTCCGATACTTCGGAGTCGGAGACCTGGTCCTAAGGAAGGTCACCCTCAACACCAGAAACCCTAATGAAGGGAAGCTGGGCCAAAATAGGGAAGGACCTTACCGTGTCCTCGGAATAATTAGCAAAGGGTCCTATAAGCTCGGTACCATAGAGGGCGAGCAGCTTCCGAGCAACTGGAATGTATCGATGCTTAAGCGGTATTACTGCTAGGACGGCCGAATATGGAACCCCACAAACATCCTCGAGCGGACGTCGTACTCTTTTCCTTCTAAATCTTTTCCCCAAACTGGTTTTTGCCAACAAGGTTTTTAACTAGGCGATGCCCATGCACTTCTCCAGAAGGATCCAAGGAACCTGCAACGCTTCTTTCACGATCAGCTCTGCCCCTGGATTAAGACGAACAAGGCCCCCAATCGACACACTGTATTGGGTTGAGCTTGCAAAACTGTACTTACATCAGGCAATCAAAAGATATCTTTTCAACACCTTCTTCTCTGGATAGAGAAATCTCAAGTGTATCCCCAACAGGGGCCCCTTCCACCGACTGCATTTCGAAATACTCGGAGACTCGATGCCTACAACTAGGCACTCGCGCGATCTCAGGATCGCAAACTCCAGGCTCATAAAGCCCCTACAAGGCAACCCCGAGCTCATAAGAAGCGTCTTCACGCTTAAACAACTAGATGACTCGGAGGCTGTCGTCAATCGCCATACGCTGAAAAATCCGAAACTGTAAGACCCTTAACGGGCAGACTCGGCATAACCAGGTCCATTCTACATCACCCAAGAACTGTAAGACCTCAACAGGCATGACAAACTGTAAGACCTCAACAGGCATGAAAATCCCAAAGTTTAGGCTATACGTCGTATTTGTAAGAATCCCGAAAGGGCATACCCTCGATGTGGACGCCTAGACTATCACTCGGGGTCAAAAATGACTACGGTCAAAATGGCGGATACGGCCAAAATAACGCGACTCAGGGACGCCCTATCGTCGCTAAATACAATCGCAGGCCACTACTTCGAATATACTTCAGAAAGAACCGGTTAAAATAGGCTTCCCTCAAACAGGCAAACAACGAGCTATGAACCTTCCGAGGTGCTCGAAATATCGCCAATAACGACTTGATATCGAGGTTCTTCTAGAACCGACGACGGGTCAGGCAAAAATCTTTCAAAAAGACCTTAACGAGCGAAAAAAAAAGCCTACAAAAAGCCCACGGGCAAAAATAGCGTAAGAGCCATTGTCGCCAGCTAAGCAAGCCTACAGGCCACATATCAAAAGGTCTCTACGACCAAACAAGCATAAGAGCCATTGTCGCAAGCAAACATTGACAATTCAGGATTAAAGTGAGCTCGGATCTTAACTCGATTCGGAGACCGGATCCAAAATAGTTAACTAAGCAAGCCTATGGGCCACATATCAAAAGGTCTCTACGAGCAAACAAGCGTAAGAGCCATTGTCGCCAGCAAACATTGACAACTTGAGGATTAAAGTGAGCTCGGATCTTAACTCGATTCGGAGACCGAATCCAAAATAGTTAACTAAACAGGACTACGGGCCACATATCAAAAGGTCTCTACGACCAAAATGCATAAGAGCCCTTGCCGCCAGCCAAAACTGACAACTCAAGGGTCAATTAAAGCTCGAGTCGCAACGTAACTCTGAGACTGGACCCGAAGCAGCAGAACAACAAAATGACCAAAGGTTAAAAGCCCTTTTTTCCAAACCAGCCCGAAATGGCCAGAAGGCTATATTATAGGCCCGAGGTTTTTTGTTCGCCAAACCATTGATATAATCAAAACAGAAAGGGAAAAGAAGTTGCAAAATTCTCCTTATACACATGTCGAATTAAAGAAGTACTACAAAGAAGGAAACCAACGGAAAAAGATAGCAGGCCCTAACTTATCCCCGAACCAATGGCCTCAAAAGGTTACATCCAGGTGATTATAGGTCCCGTGAGGGCCCCTTCTCGACGGCGTCCCCCCTCTCTAGGATCCTCCTCCATTTTTCACCCCGCTCGAGCTGCCTTCCAACGCACCCTCAACTGACAACCCTCGGAAAACTGGACAAGCATGACCACGGTTTGAGGCAATGTCGGGACAGCCCCCTTTGACGCCCTCTCAACACAAGAATCTGCGATGACTGCCCCTCCCCCGTGCGAAGATACAAGCGCCTCGGCCTCAGCTTTGATCCGATGCAGTGCAGCCACCAACTCGGAATGAAGGCCCTTATACTTGCCGCTATCCTCCCCTGCGTCCTGAAGCTAGCGCTCGATCAAGGTAACCCTCTCCCTAAGGTTGTCCCTCTCAGAAGACACCGCGCTTACACGCCGACCAAGCTCGGAGATCTCAGCATCCCTGGCCCGAAGCTCCCCTCTCAGCAAGGCATTCTCCTTCTCAAACTGCACGGGTCAGGGCCCAAAGTGTTACGAGCGATGAGATTCTACAAAAACTCGAAGGATAGCAAGAGCAAGGGATAGACAAGCCGTTCAGCGAAAAAAGCTTTCTCACGCTTACGACGACTCACCTCTTCCTTACACTGGGCGAGGACCTAGTTATAAAGCGCCTCGGCCTGAAACCGCACAAAAGAGTTAA